TATTTCTCCACACAAGTTAAACAAGTTTTAAACAAGAATTTTAAATTACACAGAAAGAGGATAGATGATCACAGAGAGTAATTGATTTACAATTAATTGTTACATATACACATGAAACTATGGTTACCAGAATTGATGGCAATAACAAGGAAAATTAGAAAATAGTCATTTTGACTTCCCTTAACTTACACTATTGTGAATGTTTACAAAAGGTTGGACTGTTAATTCACTAATTCATTAATTAATTAGGGTTAAATCCATTTCGCAGAGATGACTTCAGAAATGATCGACTTCATTTTCTTACAGAGTCGAATATTTTAAACAGTTTTATAGTGTCGAAAAGGTGAATAGAAGAAAGAAAAAGAAAAAAACATTTCCATAATGATAAAGTAGAAAAGACACAGCAAACACATTAAAGGGCGTGCACAGCGTTTTTCATCTCTGCTCGTTTAGAGTTTATTCTTCTTAAGATGGACAAATCATAACAAACCATTAATGAAAATTATGACCAAATGTTGTTAGCTTCATCAATTTATTATCATTATTATTCCGTTGGGTTCCGTGTGGAACATAACAGGGCTGCAATAACACATCTCCACTTTATTCGATTCATCTTTGCTGTCCTCTTCAGCTGAGTTTATGATCGCCCATAATCTCTCATCTCCTCCATGTCACCTTCGCATCCTCGAGTGATGGCCTGCACTACGCGCGATGTCATTCCACGGCCCCCTCAGCGTGTACCCGATCAATCCATCTCCATTTTCTCTTAAATATTTGTTGTTCGTTTGTCACCATCCAGAGTTTCTTGTCACTAATTCTTTATGACTGGCCGACCATTCAATCCTCAATATGGGGCCAGACAGCGAAGGGGTCAGCTTTTGATACAAGTCTGTAACTTGTTGGAAATCCTTTTCGTGACGCGTTTTTCCGAGTTTCTGACCAGTATAGAAGAACTGACTGACTTGACAATTGTGTTGCAATTGTGGATGTTATTCTTTATGCTGACTGCGTAGTGCAGCAGCAGATTTCCAAACTGGTTTCATGTTGATGAAGGTGGCATATCTTGCCTTTCCGATTCTGACTGGCTGGCTTTGACATCTTCATTCATGCCATCCGTCTGTAGTTGAAACTATGCTGGCTGCCTAGATAGGTGAACGGAGTAACCTATGTCAAATTTCTCTCGTTGATAGTGACTGGAATTGGTTGTTGTTACTGCTGTTGCTGTTGGTTGGTTATCTTCACCACCTCCGTCTTCTCTATGCTCACCTGGAGTCCTGGCTTCGCTGCTTCTTCAGTCATTTTGTTGCTTTTTGCTTGCAGTTGTTCAAGTTTGTGTGACATTAGACATATATCAAATCTCTATCTCAACTTCAACAACTTTGAAAGAGCCTTCGACAACATTGACTACGAAATGAAACCTTCAGCAATCTTATTCATCCGCTATACGAAAAATGCCACACGTCTGGTGAACACTTGGCAAAGCCTTTGAAATGAAAACAGCAGTAAGACAAGGCTGTCTGTCTGCGTACTATTACTGAAGATATTCCTGATTATGGTGGACTGGTTCACTCAGCAGACCGTGGAAACAGAGAATACATCAGGACGTTGGACCGACAAGAAGATTCAAGATGACCTGGACTTTACGGATGACTTATGTCTGATGTCACACAACGTCGAAGACCTACAGGTGAAAAATGAAAAGTTGGAGAGAGAGAAGCTGAGAAGACAGGAATTCAAACGAACCTAAAGAAGTCAGAGGTGGTGGGAATGAACAACAACAAACACCAGTCACTATCGATGGAAGAAATCTAGAAGTCATCGTTTCAACTACAGTCGACAAGGATGAGGATGTCAATGGCAGCAGGATCGGAAAAGCCAAGCAATTTGGAAATATGTTGCATTCAGAATAAACAACAAAATTTCGGATTCTCTACCCTAATATCAATTCAGTGGTTCTGAGACTTGGTGCGTCATAGAGAGCATTTCGAAAAGGCTGCGAACTTTAGCCATTCACTCGATACTGAAGATTAGATTAGACAGACATAATTGGCCACAGGGAACTGTAGGAATGAACAAACCGGGAACCTACATATTACCCAACAAATATGCCGATAGAAATAGAGATGGATCGGATATATACGCTGAGGAGACCGATGAGTGACATAGCGAGCCAGGCGCTAAAGTGAAACCCGAATGGGAAACAAACGACGAGTTGGGTGTCCCATGGTGACACAGAGGAGATTGTGTGAGCAAGAGATGAGAGCTTATGGTTAATCGGCGGGCCAGGTAATGACGACTGTAGAGGGGAGGATGAAACAGAGGTGCTCTTTTGAAGCCTAGTGTTCTTCCCGGAACACAAGGCAATAACGATAATATAATGTGAATTCGGTTGATGGTGGATAGCTGCGGAATTCAGGATGTGCGTGTCACTGATGAGGAGTTCGAAATAGGACAAAGTGCGCATTCCGTATTCAGCTGCTGGTTACCATCAACCAAAATTACACCAAATTAACCTGCAGACATCGTCTAAGCATCAGTTCTACACATCGACATGTTGAGGAAGATCGATCATTTCCATCTGACATGATCAATCAAAGGAAAATAAAAACTAAACGTTATTATTATTCCCCCAAGTTCCAAGTGGAGCAAGGGGCTTAATCATAATCACACCTCCATTTCACTCCCTTTTTAGCTGGTTTCGCAATTGCTCATACGCTTCCATCTGCTCCGCATATCATCTCTTCTACATTAACCTGCGTCGGTGGCACAGTGGTTAGTACTCTCGCCCACCATGCACATGGTCCGGGGTTCGATCCCCTGCCGACGCACACCCGATATCTATGGTCGGCCTGCAAAATTTGGGCTACCGATATCCATGCTGAAAATTCCATACTTGTACTGAAAATACGGTGTGGCATCAAGCTGTAATCAAAATAAAAAATTATAAAATAAAAATAACCTCGGCCCCCCCCCCTAACTTGTCGTTTTCCATTCAATTTTCACTCTACAGCCTGGCGTGTGGTGTCACTCAGTCTAAGTTGAATCCATTTCCACTACCTTCTCCATATTTGTTCGCTAATAGATTCTTGGTTTGCTCGTTTCTAGAGTTCCGTGTAGCTTATCCTTTCCAGCTGGACATCTAATCTTCAGTGTCGAGTGAAGGTAGCCGTGCAAGTTTGAATCCTGCTCGTGACTTATTTAATCTAACCAGAGAATGACAAAAAAAAGACGGTTGCAGCGAAGAAAATTTCCTTTTCGATGAAGTCACCGTCAACTAGGCCATACATTCGTGTATTCATAGTAAATAGGTGAAAAAGTTGCAGAACTATTTCCGGTCAAAGGTTAAATTAATAAAATTACAAAGTGTAATAAGTACAAAGATCGGATACAGAATATCGTAAGGTTGTAGATAGGTTGTAGTATTATCCTAGAAATGTTTCAGGTCAAAGGTCAAATTAGTAAAAATTACATAATAAATGGGTGGGAAAGTTCCAGAATAATTTCCGGTCAAGGATCAAAGTGTAACCAGATTCACTAGATGGTTATAAGGTCAGAAAAAGATGGAAAACCAGGTGTAGAACTAGCAAACCTATCCAATTGCCACAGATATTTTATTATATATATATAAAACCTTGTACTTGTCTGGAATCCGAAAGACAGAACAACACAGGCTTCTGAACACCTTTAGACAGACAATCTACCCAATGTGTCTGATTTCGATGAAAGAAAAAATAAGCATAAGGTTATGGAATATCCTCATTATGTTTGTAGCAAATTAAATAAGTTGTGTAAGATTATCTCTCCCTCTCTCTCAAGTTAAATATCAACTACAGTTGGGCTGGGTCACAGTGATTTCAGATTCGTTACAGGATTTCATCATGAGCTGACATCAGTTAGAGGATTATTGGAAAACCACCTGGCAGTATTGGACGGCTGTTTCCTTCGTCCTAGTTTAACATTCTTCAGCTACACGCACCAACCACCAGGGTTTGGACCCCGGGCCTTCTCGTTACAAGGCCAGCAAGCTTGTAGACCATTCAGCCACTGGGACTCTATCCAATGGCCAGACCATGAATTCTAACTTCTTCCAATTCATGACATATCCTGACCAATAGCCAGTGTCATTGTCGGCGAGCATTCCTCCTCACACCCGACCTGCTGTATCCTACTGGTCACGAATTCCCACTAGAACTCCAGGTAACTACCTGTCTGAGATTCGTAAACCAATTAATCAATTCAAATTTCTTTCCAGTTTAGACTATCGTATATATTATTTATACGGGTGAGAAACTTGCACTGCGCGTCATGAAAACGATTTCCAACAAGTTACAGATTTTTGTCAATGGCTGCCTCCTTCGCTGGCTGGTTCCATACTGAAGATCAAATGGCCGGTTAGCCAGTGAGAATCGACAACAAGAAACTCTGAATGGTGACAAACCAACCAAAAGCCGATTACTCAACAAATATGTAAGAGAAAATAGAGATGTATTGATTGGGTGAACTTTGAGGAGGCCATCAAATGACATTGAGCGCGACGCAGACCATCACTCGAGTTGAACTCCAATGAGAAGCGATGAGTGGGTCGTCGGTGCGAGGGTGACATGGAGGAGATGAGAGATTATGGCTAATCGTGAACCCGGCTAAAGACAACACCAGAGAATAGAAGAAAGTGGAGATGTGTTATTGAAGCCCTGTTATGTTCCACTTGGAACCAAAGGGAATAATAATGTATTATCTTATCTACACATGTTATTCTCGCATTAATTAACTTTAACTCGCAATATTTACTAACACAAAACGAAGCGCTATAGAATCAATTTCATAGGAATTTATTTCTACTTATGTGTACAACATCTTGTTATAACACAGTCAGGTTGACTCTGTTCTTTAAAACATTTACAAAAATAGAAGACATACAAATACGGCAGGAAACAAGAACAATGAATGAAGGATACAAAAAGACGGGAAAGGATTTTTTTCCCAAAACAACAACAACAAGAACAGCAGATTTCTTCATCATTTAAAGTGATTCATTATTTGTTGTATAATATCAGATTTTTTACTCCGACCAGTTGTTGATATTTTAAGATCAAGTGATTTGATTGTATCACGTAAAACTGTCACTGTATACTTATTTAATTGACCAAGTCTCACAGCTGCTTTGAGTTCATCTTCAGATAGAAATGGTTTTACACTTTGACTACTATTACTGTCAGTTGATTGTGAAGTGTAAGCCTTCTGTATTATAGGATAGAGAAAACAAGAGAAAAGGAAATGCATGTAGAATAACAAAATTCTTTCTCAAAAAGAAATAGAAATCATGATAGTTTTGGATAACTGTTTTGTCCCAGTTTGGGACTCCTTAGCATTACGCAAACACACCGAGAGGTTCGAACCCAGGACCGTCTAATTACAAGACTAGCGACCCCGTAGATCATTAAGCCACTGGGACTAATACTTGAAAATAATAATGGTTTTATTCTCAAGAAGCATTGGCCATTCACGGATGTGTTCCGGGGTTCGACCTCCGACCGACATCCTCTTAAACTTCGCTTAACCAGTAGTATATCAAGTGAAGAGGGAAGGTTCGCTTTGGGGCTGCCAAACCCACAATAACCTCTACAGAATATCCTTTGACAGAATTTTGTACTGTCCCTAACAATGTCCAACACCCAGCCACCCACCCACCCTCCAACGTACTTCTCCTTTCGAAAGAGATCAAGAGATTTTTCATGGGGTAGCTTTTGAAGGGATTTGATGTCTGTCAGGTTTGTCCACGGATTGATTGATATCAGTTAGAGAACCAATGAAAACCAGCCAAGGAATACTTTGATTGGACACTAGTCAGTGTCTAGTGTGATGTGTCTAGTCCTTTGTTTGCTGCAGATTGAATTCTATCAGTCAGCTACCTAGAATGGTGGTCACACTGTAAAGTTGACTGATAGAATTATGTCTGCCCCAAAGAAAGGACTAGACACATCACACTAGTCACTGATTAGTGTACAATCAAAAATATCCAGTACAATCCTACAGCAGGTTCGAGTCTAAGAGGGGACTTGAGCTCCTCCAAGGTTGTACATATGCTTTGCTGACCGGTAAGTACCAACTATCAAGAAACCAAGGTCCCAGTGAGGCTTCCTGCTGAATGCCTTCCACCCATTTAATCCCAACCAAGGAATACTGGTCAGGTCTGTTTCCGTTCTCCTAATCCAGAGGTCTTCAGAAGTACGAGTTTAAAAGTCATGCTAAGGGAACTTCATCAAGGTGAGTTTTTTTCACTTATCCATTCATTTTCAAGTGTTGATGAGAAGTCATAACCAGAGATGGCCACAAAGTCTGGTAGGAAGATAACTACTCGTCAGCGACAACACTGACTGGTGATCGATCTATATATCCCGGATTGGTAGAAGCTAAAATTCACTGGCTGGTCACTGAGTCAGGTCTTAGTGGTTGAATGGTCTACGAGCTTGCTTGCTTGTTAGCAGTAGGTATTGGGTTTGAATCCTGGTGGTGGGTGCTTACTGCCGATGAGTCTCAAACTAATGGGACTAAGGAGCTGTCCAGTACTCCGCTCCGTCCTCCTTTATGGCTGTGAGACCTGGCCATTGAGAGTGGAAGATATGAAAAGGGCAGCTATCTGTCTTTGATCATAGGTGTCTGCGTTATATCTCCTGTGTGAAGTGGTATAATAGGTTGAGCAATATTGAGGTTAGACTTCGGTCGAGTGCTAGGTAAGTGGAGGGGGGTAAATCGGTTGACGAGGCTGTGAAGTTATATCGACTGAGATGGTTAGGACATATGTTACGCATGCATCCCTAGCCATCGTTCGCCTTCCTCGACGGGCAATGTTAGCTGACATAGTGTCAAATTGGAAAGGAGCCAGTAGTGGTCAAAACAAAACATGGCTTCATCAGTCAATGAAATCCACAACAGTTAGTCTAAGCCACGTAGGAAGGTGTAGACTGGCTTCCTGGTTGGGGTCCTCGGGACGGTAAAAACCAATGGCTGGAAACAGTCGGTGATATAGCTCAAAGTGATCGTTGTCAATGGCTGGTGCAAATGCATCCACTCCTTGTGACTTATAATTTCCAATGAAACTTTACTGTTCTTCGTTATTACTATTCCTTTTGTCTCATATCCCTGTTTACTGTTCCTATTATGCATTTCTTCTCCTTTCTTCTCTTGCTTGTCGGTCGAAAACAAACAGGAACAGAATACTCCCTACTGGTTTTTCATTGATTCTCTAACTTATATCTCAGTCTGTGGAATGTTGAAAGTCATTCAAAAATGCAGACTGAGTACAAATTGTGTTTCTCTAGGACCGTAAGTAGGTGGTTGAAACAAAGTAACAGAGCTGTCTGCCTGCTTAAATCTCTAGTCTGTTTAAATTTCACTCCAGTATAATGGATAAACTCTTCTCCACATTTCTTACTGTTTTAATCATATAAATGTGTTTTAAGATGGCTAAAGGAACTAGTGTACATTTTTCGTTTGCTATCAGTGTAATACAGAGTGCTTATTAAAGGAGCCGATGGGGAGAATGTGGTAGCGGGTTGGATATGACTCTAGATGGAACAACACACAGTATCACACGATGTACTGTTGAATATTATTTTGGATGGAGGATTTCACCATGAGCTGACAACAGTTACAGAACCAATGGAAAACCTGGGAGTTTTGGACAGCTGTTTCGCCCTAGTTTGGGACTCTTCATCAGTACGCACCCACCGCCAGGGTTCGAACCCTGGACATTCTGGTTACAAGGCCGGCAAATTCGTAGACCATTAAGCAGCCACTGGGACCTGATCCAATGGCCAGCCCATGAATTTTAACTTCTGCCAATTCACGACATAGTGCGACCATTTCGCAATGCCTTCTTCGATAAGTGACTGTCTCATCTAGGTTCTGGGTTCGAACCCCGGTGCGTGCGTACTGATGATGAGTCCCAATTTAGGACGAAACAGGTGTCCAGTGCTCCCAGGTTTTCGAGTGGTTCTCTAACTGATGTCAACTCATGATGAGATCCTCGATCCAATCAAACAAAATCCCTACAAAATCAATACTTGAAAATATTATTTCACTTGAAGATCCTGTACGATATTTTGCAAATTCTGGACTGTGTGTTAACATACTGTCTACGATAAAGTTATTATTACTAAGTATAATTGAGTAAATTTGATGCAGCGAGCTCTATACAAAATAAATTAGCCCGAGGATTATGGTTCGATGTGTAATAGAGATAATTCAGAGACATTTTTGTCGTTAAAGTACCACTTAGTGTAAGTTACTAACTTTGAAATGATTTCCATGATTTCGAAGGGTAACAAGATGTGTTGCACTGTCTTACAGGCAATCGCTACTTAAGAAGCTCTTTACAAAAGTGTATCTGTGGAGGCAAACTTCCGTATTTCTTTACAAGTGTACACTACCTGTTGAAGTAATAAATCAATCAATATATTCAATGGTTCATTTGGTCAACATAAAGAAGAACAGCGACCAGAGAGTACGAATGCACCAATGACCTTGAATGCATACCGTTCACTGGATGACAGAGCCTGCTGTTATTATAGCGCCAGTACGAATGCTGTGAAGGAACGGAAGTGCGAATTTCACTCCTGATCTCGTTTTTAAGTGCCGTTTTGACAATAAGGTTGATAGGAGAGTATTAAAATCAGGATTGTGGATAGGATTAGGGGTTAAGGTAAGTATTAGGGTGTTTCATTATTGCCTGTACTTCTCTTTTAAATAAACATATGAGATGAGAGCATTTCCTTGTTTATATAGATGAAACTATTTTGGTTGCTATGAAACTTAAAACCTGATTGTAACTGAGAATTATTTTTCAGTAATGTCAGGGTGAAATACTGTGTTTAACGTGTTTGACTATTATCATATTGTTTCAACTATAGGCGAATGACACCGATGAAGATGTCAAAGCCAGGAAAGGCAAGATACGCCTTCACCAACATGAAACCAGTTGGGAGATCTTCTGCACTCAGTCAGCATGAAGAATAACATCCATAATTGCAACACAATTGTCAAGTCAGTCAGTTCTTCTATACTGGTCAGAAACTCGGAAAAACGCGTCACGAAGAGGATTTCCAACAAGTTACAGACTTGTATCAAAAGCTGCCCCTTCGCTGGCTGGCTCCATAAGTTAGGACTGAATGGTCGGCCAGTCAGAAAGAATTAGTAACCAGAAACTCTGGCTGGCAACAAACCAAACAAGGGCCTATTACTCAAGAAATATTCCGTAGAAAATGGAGATGGATTGATCGGGTACATGTTGAGGAGGCCGTTGAATGACATCGCGCGCAATGCAGGCCATCACTCGACTGGAATCCAAATGGGAAGTGACAAGTGGGTTGTCGATGCAAGGGTGACACATGGAGAAGATCGTGTGGCGAGGAGCAGGAGGAGGAGATGAGAGATTATAGGCAATCGTTGACCCAACTGTAGCTGATAGCAGAACATAGAACAAAGTGGAGATGTGCTGTTGAAACCCCGTTATGTTCCACTCGGAACCCAAGGGAATAATAATTATTATCATACTAATTTCTTCTCGTAAATAAACAGCTTTTTATGTAGAATACACGGCAGGTTCCGTAATCCAACGAAGTCATTGGTTCGTTAGCACTCCACTATAGGTATTCTTTATTCCTGGTGTTTTTTCTCCTCGTTAATCTAAATTAGCTCTGTGACTCTTTTAACGTAGGACACCGGCGTATTTAGTCTCAGTGTACTGTTAGGTATTTCAGAAGCTACATGCATACAAAAGTATCTTTCAAGTTATGTGCAACGCAGAGGTAAGATTTGGTGGTTAGGGAGAGATATAACCACACTAATTACACTGCAAAATACCCATTAATGACATCAAAATTACTACTACTTCTTCCAGTTTAATCTTAATTAATTTAAATTTTATTCGTTGGGAGATTTAATCATGTGCTGACATCGGTTAGAGAAACATTGGAAAATAATCTGGTAGTGCTGGACAGTTGTTTCCTCTGTCCTAGTTTGAGACTCTTCGGAGGTACGCATCCACCAGGGTTCGCACCTGAAGACGTTGCTGAGTGGTCGCGCTATGTCATGAATTGGCAGAAGTTAGAATTCATGGGCCATTGGGTCGAGTCCAGTGACTTAATGGTCTATGAGCTCGCCTAGTAAATACAAGGTGCTGGGTTCGAACTCTGATGGGTGGTGCATATTGATGAAGGATCCCACACTAGGACGAAACAGCTATCCAGTACTCTCAGGTGGTTTTCCAATGGTTCTCTAACTGATGCCAGCTTATAATGAAATTCTAAAGCCAATCGAATCCTTTCAAACCAATACTTGTAAATCTTATTCTTTTACATTCTAAGTGGAACATACTGCTTCAATCTTAAGCGTTTTTGAAGTTTCGATAGCAGTGATAACTATTTTTAAGGAATGTGGTTGCCAGCCTCATGCTCAACCTTTCCTCTTTACCAGTCTTATTATTATCTTAGCGTGGTAAAGGAGTAAGTCAACCAGGGATCGAACCCTGAACCACCTGCTTGGTTGGCCAGCATTCTACGTCTGTGTTATCGACGCACATTTCCATCTACGATGATTATTAGGCGTCAGAAAAATGTCAAAGAAGAAAAAGTACAGTGTAGTCATTACGTGGCATCACACACACAAGAAAAAACTTACTGAACGTTTCAAGAGATGTTCAGTTCACATGAACAATATTAAGGTTGGGTAAATCAATTAATAATCATTCAAGAATGTGTGGAGTTCTGTACTCTTAACTCATTTACCGTCTATTTCTAATTACAATCATAAAATTCGTTACTGGTCTCGTAAAAATCGAACCATTGACATAATGGAATGTTGTCGTATAAATATAAATATAAGTGGTAAGGTCATTTATGGACATCATCAGTCAGGGGGACTGGTTAACACATTTGTTACACTCAAAATATAAAACTGAACAAATTAACGAGTTGTTTTTTCCATGTCAACTAGAGTTATCATTTGAAAGTTTACAACACTACATAGTTGTACAGATCGGTCAGGGTCAAAGTGTTAGTCAACCACTGTAAACATTATCTCAATGGGTTGTTAATCATATCAAAATTCCAGTTCAATAAATATTGATTATCAATTAGTCAGCGATACAAACAATCAATCAAATTTCATCATTTTTTGATATTCACAATGAATAATCGGCTTATGCTGTTGTGTAATTAGTGTTAATGACACTTTTGGATGTTGTGATTATCAGTGTAATCTCATACAGCAGTAACTGTTTGTCACTCTGTCACTATATGCCCACCAAATGTCGCTCTTCTGAGTCTTCCTGTTTATTAGTCAGGATCAGGGAAATCTTCTAGGAGATTGTCTTTTTTATTCCTTCACGTTCCGAGTGGAACATAGGGCAGCTTCAGGCTAGTGGCTTGAAGTTTCGGTAGCAGTGGTGTTCAGTTTTACGGAGTGAGGTTGCTAGCCTCAACTGGCCCAACCTTCCCTCCTTACCACTCTTAGTGACGTAAAGGAGTGCGTCGGTGGCCGGGATGCGAACCCCGGACCACATGCGTGGTCAGTGAGCATTCTACCGCTGTGTCACCAACGCACAAGTAGTACTTTCATTATTATTAACGCGTTTTCAAGTTAATATTCACCGACTACAATGAAAAAGTTCAATGCTGAGATCACGTGCAGTGTCTCAGTGGTAGAATATTCTTTCGCCAATCACTCACATGGTCCGAGATTCAATTCACCGGCGACGACGCACTCTTAAATCTCGGTTAGTCTGTAGTAAGACAGGTAAAGAAGGAAGGTGGGGGCTGAGAGTAGCAACCCCACCACGTAAAAAGAAATAGCATTTTAAAGGGAAATACTTTTTCCCTCATGTTTCTGTTGTGAAATTATCAGTTAAGTAGTTGATGGATCTATTCGAAATTACTTCAAAATAACATATACTGGAAATTCTGTGTACGTTTCTGTAAAACAATCACTTTCATGAGACTAAGTGTAGAATATGAATGGATAAGTAAAGGTGTAAATCAATTGACTGAAATACTCGAGTAGATGGATACTATTCACATTAATTAGTAATATTTACTAGACAGATCGAAGTTATTTGATTGGGATAATGTCGAAATTTTAAACAGAAGAAACACCAAAAGTGCCAGAGAATTCCTAGAAGTCTGGTACTCAAACGAACATGTTAATATAGACCAAATTTACTAACTAATAAAAAGTAAATCAAATGTGACGAGAAAGTTTAAAATCGAAGTCAATAAAAAATGATCATTACAGATGTAAATCGACTACCAGTCACGAAGATGGTTGTTGCCAGGAGACACAATTCTATCATCATTCATTGAGGGAGAATTTGAATCAGTTCATTTTATGCTAAAACTTGCACTGAAGATGTTCACCAGAAGGACGACGAAAGCTCCACAACTAAACCAACCAGCTCCTCAGAGAATACAACTAATTGCAAATCATCCGCCTGAGCTATAAATCTTCTCTATTAGATCGAAGTGATCTCAACACCACAATGGCGTTCCACTCGTTCAAAGCCAAATTCATTAACGGTTTTCTTCATTTGGCTTAAATCAAACCAAACCACTGGAAATTCCAGCTATTTTTGATTACCACTTATAGTATTGTGTAGATCATATTGATTGTGATCTATCTGAACAATTTCATTATCTTATGGACGAAACTTCAAGTCGAAGGCTCGGCGTTGAGGGGGAGCAGGGTTAGCCTCTTGCCTCTTAAGACGACCACCTGTCACAGTCTAGGCATTCGAGTAGTATGCCGAAATTCGCACAAACTATGGGGTTATATTTTGTGACACCTCTCTTTCGGTGCTCATAATATACCAAGTTTGTGTTTCAATAATAATAATGATTATAAATTGATCAATAGGAAACTCAAAAATAACTTGCTTATTCACCTTTAATGAATTCACCGCCTCCAAGTTGAAACATTGTCTGAAGGCTTCAATTTCCACACTGGCTCTTCTTTTCATAGCTCCAATTTTAGGCACTTTATTTTTGAGGGGGAATAATAAAAAGAAAACAAGAATGCAGCCACACAAAGAAGAAACAGTTTCTCATTTACATCAGTTGAACTAAATGAATATGCGATCAAATAGATTCCATTTTATTTCATCGGAAAAAGTAAACCATAGTTGGGATAGAAAGGGTAAGATTGAATCGAGTTTAATCAGCGACTCAGACATCAGTTAGAGAAACATTGAAAGGCGGTAGGGAGTACTGGACGGCAGTTTCATTTTAGTTAGGGACTCATCAGCAGTAAGCACTTATCTCTAGGGTTCGATCCCGGGACCTTTTGGTCACAAGTAAGCAAGCTCCTACACCATTCAGCCACTGCGTTTCGACTCAATTCCCGATTTTTATCACAAACGACCAGCTAATATCGTCACTGGTGAGTAATAATCCCCCTAAGAGACTTCGTGAACCCTTCTGGTCACGATTTCTGAGTAGGACTCACCTCCAGGCAACTTCATCCTGTAGCCAGTCACTTCCGAGCATCCGACTAGTTTTCATGAGTTTGGTGTTGGAAAAGAACATGTGGTGTGACAGGGCATTTGAAATAGTGAACATTTTAATGAACTGAATCACACTTACATTTCCATGTAGTTGGAAATATAACCTGCACACATTCTATGTGACGGCCAATGATACTGTCCCGGATCACTCAAAACCTCGATAGACGGAGCAGGATTCGAAAGCATAACCCAATGGTTAGAAGTTAAGTATCTAGATCAGTGAGTTCCATAGGTCCGTATTAGCCTCATTGGTTCGCTTATCAGTCGACTAAATCACAACAGTTAGTCATCAATCTGGCAGTCAAGGTCAACAGCGCAGGTTGGGTAGCTCTGAATTAACCGACGGTATACTTCGATTAGACGCTAGGTAGAAACTAAAGTTATCCGCCTTGTTCGTCGAATTATGACCCAATTTCGAACTTTTAGTAAAAAGGTTAGATAATATACTTTCACCAAGTGGCTCAATATACAACGGAAAAGACATCCATGAAATTTCGTCCCACCTCGAAACTCTTTGACAGTTACACATATATATATATTTCGACTATTACGCTATATTTCCCAGCAGAAGCTTTGAAAACGGATCCAGAGGCAACAGCGGACTTGATGACGCCACTACTGGAGAAGGTGTGGAAAGAAGGCAAAGTACCCGAGAATTGGAAGAAGGGATACTTATTCAAACTACCAAAGAAAGGAGACTTAAGTCAATGCAAGAACTGGCGCGGTATTATGCTCCTGTCCATCCCAAGCAAAATACTAAGCCGCATCATCCTGGAGAGAATCAAACATGCCCTGGATGAAAAACTTCGACCGGAACAGGCTGGATCCAGGAGAAACAAGTCATGCATTGATCAGATCGCCACATTACGGATCATCATTGAACAAAGCTTGGAGTGGCAGTCACCTCTCTATCTCAACTTCATCGACTTTGAAAAGGCCTTCGATAGCGTCGATCGAGAGGTGCTTTGGCAACTACTTCGCTACTACGGGGTGCCACCCACAATTATACAGCTCATCCAACAGTTGTATGACAACGCTGCATGCCAAGTAATCCACAACGGGAAGCTCACGGAATCCTTCGAAGTGAAGACAGGAGTAAGACAGGGTTGCCTACTATCGCCAATGATTTTCCTGATTGCAGTAGATTGGATAATGCGACAAACAGTGGGCAATGAGGAAACAGGCATAAAATGGACACACACAAAGAACTTGGAGGATCTGGACTTCGCCGATGATATATGTCTGATTTCCCACAAACTGGAAGACATGCAAAGGAAGAGCAACAAGTTAGCAGAAGAAGCATCAAAGATAGGACTTCAGGTGAACATAGATAAAACAGAGGTGATGAAAATCCCTGGGCAACACCACCAACAGCAACAACAACAACAGACAACAATCAGCATAAATGGAAGGAACCTGAAAGAAACAACCTCCTTCACCTACCTACCTACCTGGAAAGTATCGTTTCAACTACAGGCGGAACTGACGAGGATATCAAAGCAAGAATCGGGAAAGCAAGACAAGCTTTCACTACTCTCAAGTCTGTGTGGAGGTCAACAACTCTCAGCATGAAAAATAAGATCCGGATTTTCAACTCCAATGTGAAGTCAGTCACTGCTACTATACGGATCAGAGACTTGGGGCGTCATAAAGAGCATCTCAAACAAACTACAGACCTTCATTAACAGTTGTCTTCGCTCAATACTCAAGATCAGATGGCTGGCCAGAAAAGATCAGCAACAGGGATCTCTAGGAGCGAACCAACCAGGAACCGACTGTGAAACAAATAGGCAGGAAGAAATGGAGATGGATTGGCCACACTCTGAGGAAACCAGCAAGTGACATCACTAGACAAGCCATCGCTCGAGTGGAACCCGGAAGGGAAGCGGCGAGTTGGTCGTCAGTGCAAGGGTGACTTGGAGGGGGTCATGTGAAGAGGAGAAAAATCATGCGAGCAGACATGGAGCCAGGTGAAGACTCTAGCAGAGAACAGAACTCAATGGAGACGCACGGCTGAAGCCGTATGTTCCACTAGGAATTAAAGGATACAATAATAATAATAAATTACGCTATATTGATATAATTACCAAACCCGTTGGGGTTTGTAGACTTAGTGGCTAAATGTTATCGTTTTGGCTTCAAAGTCTGAGGGTCACGAAGTTGATCCGCGTCGTTTCACATTCAGGTTCCACTTAAGCGATGGCCAGGCTCACGATGTCACTAAACCGTCCCTTAAGCCCATGTCCCACTCATCTCCTTCTTCGGAATATTTGTTGGGCAGCAGGTTCTTGATTGGTTCATATCCAGAGTTCTGGCCAGCCATATGATCTTCAACTGTTGATAAAAGACCGCAGTAGCCTATTGGAAATGATGAAAATCCGAATTTTGTTCTTTATGTTGACTGAGTGCAGAAAATTTCTACACTGACTTCAGCGTGTTGCCTTTCCAATCCTTGTTCTGCCATGCCTACTCGGTGCTGTCGCCTGTAGTTGAAACGATACTGACTAGATCAGTGAGAGAGAGAGAAGTAACCTCTTTGAAAAATTTCTTCTGTAGACAGTGACTGGCGCTCGTTGTTGTCGTCGGTTAGTTAGTTAGATGTCTTCATCAGCTGTGTCTTCTCGTATATTTAATTAAAGTCCTTTCTTCGCCACCTCTTCTGTCAACTTGTTGGTTTTCGTCTGTGAATCTTAGAATTTGTGTGACATTAGACATAAATCGTCCACAAAGTTCAGATCTTCAAGAATCTTCTTATCGGCCCAACTGTCTAATTAGTTAAATGAAATCAAACGACCAGTACGAGGTGATTCAATAACCAGCGATTTGAACATGCTCCCACCTAACAAACATTATTAATTGTTGGTATTAGATGGTTGGAGGTAATCGACAGGAAACCCTGTCTGACCTGGGTTTCGTGCTGGTCAGCACTCATCAGTCAGCAAGGCGTAACTGGAACCTCAAAGCAATTCATCTCCCTTCTAGGATTCGAACCCGCGTCACCCAGTGAGTACTACAGTCAGAGACGTTACCACCACTGAGCTATTTGGGCTGTCACGCGATTGACCTCCTGTAGGAATGTATTGGATATTTTTGATTGGACACTAGTCAGTAACTAGACACATTAGACTAGCTACTGACTAGTGTCCAATCAAAAATAAACATTATTAATAACCAGCTGATTCGAATAAACTAGTTAGAATAACTAAAAGATATTTTAACATCCCGTTCAGATAAGTTTTTGTATACTGTTTACAATAGAAGATGATCACTCCTCATGTAGCCTAGAATATTTTTCGACAAGTAAAGACACGCTAACAGACAAAGGTTTGTCATCCCACCAACAAAAAACATCTATTTCACCTGAAGTTCTACATATGTAACCTCCGCGTTGATCATATGCCGTTTAGATTGAAGTGCTCTCATGAAGTGAACTTACAACCAAGAACTTCGCAGAAAAATACAGCACATCAGGTAGCCACACTTCATAAAGCACATGTAACTGAAGAGAAAGTATCAACAGACGGAAAGGCACAGAAGAGCAAATAATTACATATCGATTGATTCAAAGCAATTAGTTCCGTTTATGAATTTCGACTACACAATAAGAAGACGTAGTTTATCTGAAACGTGTAATGTGCGTATTTGCGCAACACATTTCGGACATTCTGATCACACACACACACTGGCGTACTTGTCATACACAGTTTTTATAGAAGGTAAGAAGGCATGAATAATTACAATACAGGTCAGATTGTGTACAGGTCAAGGTCACAAATAATGGGTAGGGAGACGCAAAGGTGTGGGTAAGAAAGAGAAAAAACAAAGCAAGGAAGGGGTTGAAAATATTATGAAGTAAATCGGTCCCTGGTTCTAAATTGGATCACCAAGGCAGGTTTAAGGTAATGACAAATAACTTTTTGACAGATAAGACAGGCTTAGGTCTTTTTCATGGTTAAGGCTTCAATGAATTTAAGTATGTGGCCCAACCTTGTTTTATATATGGGTTTAAATGCATTATGGAAATCAACCTTATGATCCGTCTCTATAATGTGCTTCGTTATAGATGATGTTGGACATCTATTTCTGGGGTCAATTGTGTCTGGCAATTATATTTGTTGTTGCAGCCACTTTGGAATATGGTCTGTAGCCCTAACCTGTAGAAACCGATGGGTCCTCCCTATGTACGTGTCTCCACAAATACATGTAAATTGATAAACACAGTGGGATGTGACACTATCATTCGGATAATGTGAGGGTTTACAGGACAGCATAGTTCTCGTTTTCTCTATGAAGATAAGTTTAGCTACATAATAAGTTCTATTAATTGCGGCCTTGAGTCTTTGTCTAGTGACCAGACTTTGTTGATCACCCCTGAACGGTAAGGATATGTAAACAACCTTTCTGGGAGCTGATTGGATTGCTAAAGCTATATGGTTGACAATTCCGTAATGCCTAATAAATCTCAGTGGGTAATTTTTATCTAACAATACTTCAGTGAGGTGTCGTCTTTCTTCTTCAATTGTATCGGCAGTACATGTACGGTGAATACGATTGAACAAACACTTAACCAACGCCACTTTATACTATAGTGGACAGAAACTATGATAATTTATATACTGTCCCGTCCATGTGGATTTTCTGTAGACAGATTGTTTTACTGGCAACCATTATTCTCTTTAACGTATGTTTGTAATATACTGCCTTCTTGCCTTCTATAAAAACTGTGTATGACAAGTACGTGTGTGATTAGAATGTCCGAAATGTGTTGCGTCAATACATTACACGTTTCAGATAAACTGCGTCTTCTTATTATGTTGTCGAAATATCGATTAATGACAACTTAATAAACCTGATAGATGGCAAAGAATGAATGCCTTTACGCCACCAACAGTCTCCAGCTATTGCTTCTTAGCATGTAGGTCAAGCTAATCGAAGCTTATGTTATGTAACATCCCTCAATGAGGAAGGCGACAACTTAGCATGCATAAAACATGTCCCAGCCATATCGATGTTATTATCCTTCTTATGAAACGGGAACATCTATGGTCAAAGATGGCTAGTCTGTTCACACCTCGCCTTTTCAACAGCCATATGTCACACAGCCGTGAAGAAGGGTGAAGTGACCTGTTGTACAGTAATCTCATTTTTTGATCAATAACTGGAGATCATATTTACATGAAAGATGGTGTACACTGACATGACAACATAACATGCTAACATGCAATTGAATCAACAGTAATAATAATAGTAACAGTAATAATGAAATTAGCTTACATGTATGATCAACAATTTCAGCTTGAGATTCTCGATTAAATGCTAACGCTTCAAGTAGAGAATAATAACGTTGTAGCAAGGGATTTTCAATTTGTCCAGGACTGAATGGTACCATTAATTTACGTATCATTGCCTTAGCAATATCTACTTGAGATTCATCAGCTAAAGTAAAGAAATTATATTTAAACCATTTTACTTATATGCATTCAAACAAAATATAAGTTGAACAAATACAACCTGTGGTATAGAATGCTCGTCAGTCAGTCCAATCAATCAGTCACACACGTGGTCCGGATTCGATTCTCAACCGACACATTTTATAAACTGTTAATAAGCCTGCAAAAGAATAGAGGTTGGGTGTGAGTGAGGCTATCAACTGTAACCTACAAAGAAATCAACACCACCGTTACGGAAATTTGAAAGCTTACAGCTTAATATTCCACTCAGAAAACAAGGACACTTGTTACATATAAAAGCAGAGATTTTATAAATCATGAAGTTTAGTATTGCGGTGAAAGCTGTCTGCCTGCCGAAATTGTAGACAACAATTTACATCAGTGTTCACGTCCCGAATCAGGGTCATGAGAATGACAATATCAAAGCTTAACCTTGAGGAACTCACCAACCAATCACAGAACACTTAACGTGTGCAAATACGATTCGCAGATATATGGCCTGACTTTCTAAGAAACGGTTACAAGCAGCAAGAAAACAGGCAATCAGAAGACGTTGCTTCTCTGTTAAAATAACGAATAATAATGTACATAAAAATCTATAAATATCTCTTGATTTTCTCAATAAACGATCTGTTGCCTGGCCGCTGTCTTCTGTCGTTACAGTATTATTGGTATTAGATGATTGGAGGCAATCAGCAGGAAGTCTTACCTGATCTAGGTTCCGTGCTGGTTGATACTTACGAGTCAGCAAGGCGTATGTGCATTCTTGAAGGAATTCATATCCCTTTTGCGATTCCAGCCTGCCTGTAAAGCCTTTACATCAATGGTTCAGCGGTAGAACGCTCACTGACCACGCATCACGTCGGCCGGAGTTCCATCCCCGATGGCCGACAAACTCTGACACCTCTCTCTCTCGTGAAGCCAGTAGTAAGGCCGGTAAAGAGGAGAGAGGAAAGGTGGGTGTGGAACTAGCAACCCCACCCCATAAGAAAATAAAACCAATGATAACGAAACTTTAACGCCCTAGAGTGAAGCCTTATGTTCCAGTTAGAGCGCTGAGGAATAAACTAACTGACTAATTAACTTTTGAAATACCTATTCATTTTAAATGACGGATCATGAATGTTTAATTGAATATTAAAAGTGAAATTAAAAATTCGATTAGTTAGACGACTTAACTTACCTATTTCCCCAGATGGAATGTCAATATCACGGAAATCGTCAGCAAAAGGCAAAAATATAATATGAAATCCAGGTGGCATAGTCTGAACTTTGACTTCATTCACCTCTTCAGCCTAAACAAGAATAACAAGAATAAGAATAATAATAATAGTAATCATAGGAGTAAGAATTGTCATATCAGTAACTCAAAAAGTATGACAAACACCTGATGGAAATCGGTTACTTGATATAAACAATTTTCTGTACTAACTTATAGATCACAATGAATGCATAGCGCTGCCATCTGACAGTATCCACATACTTCAGGTTTGATGTCAATGAAATGAGGTCTGAATACATAATGTTATGTGGTTTAAGACAAGTGATAGGAAGCCTTACAACTTGGTTTCATGCTTACTGACATTGTGGTTAGGAAGATGTATCTAAGATCTCGAAGGAACTAATGTCTCCTTGAAGATTCGGACACACAACACGCTGATTGTCTTCAACCAGCTGCCATCAAATGAAAGTGCAAAAAGATGGCGAATCATCTAGATCGATGACCACACTGCAAAATGGACCAATGGGATTCAGTCAGCAGCAATAAACACACCAAGAAATGGAGGCACAACATTGGTCACTTCCTGATAGCCAATCAACGTAGTTGTAGAATGAAATCATGCAGATATAATAATAATAATAATAGTACATCACTCAGAGAACCATTGGAAAACCAGCCAGGGAGTACTGGAAAGTTGTTTCGTCCCAGTTTGGGACTCTTCATCCATACTCTGCCACTGGAACTTGGACCCAAGACCTCCTGGCTACAATGCGAGCTCGTAGAAGACACTGAGAAGTGGTGGCGCTATGTCATGAATTGGCAGAAGTTAGAATTCATGGACCATTGGATCGGATCCAAGTGGCTTAATGGTCTACTACCTCGCCTTGTAACCAGAAGCCCTTGGGTTCGAATTGTGGCGGTGGCTGCATTTGGCCGAAGAGTCCCCAACTAGTGTGGACGAAACAGCTGTCCAGTACTCCCTACAGGTTTTCAAATGGTTCTCTAACCGCTGTCAGTGTTAATCGCGATAGATAGATAGATAGACTGTATGATAAGCAGCCAATCAATATTATGTGACCTTTTTGTCGCGATTATTGGCCAATTAATGTAACTTACACCACGTGATGGTGACCTTGAATGTTCTTTTTTGTCTGTCACTCTACTTGTATATACATGTAATTAATTGACTGTTCATTTTGTCCGTACCCTTATTACTGTTCGGTACGTTTTTGTCCTATTTTTGTAATGACAGTGGATTTGTACATTTTTCTTGGTGTAATTGTATGATTTATTTTATGTTTTAGAAACAGATAAAGTTAAAGTCAAGTTATTCTGTTTTAACTATAGTAAAGCCAAGACTCTGTGTCGTCAGTATTGAGGAAGGACTAAATCTGTAGGACAAAAATAATCCTACAAAGTTTCGAACAGTACTGCAGACGAAAGTTTCGAACAGTATGGCAGACGAAAGTTATGAAACTATGCCGTCGTTAACTCCACAGTTAGAAAAGAGTAATGAAGCCGATTTCCCTGGAAGCAACGAGAATAAATCACGCTATATGATAGAATTGGAGCTAGCGAAATTGCGCATAGTCCAAAAGGAGAAAGAAATGGAATTAGAAAGATTATGACAAGGTAGTCGCGAATGTTCTTGTCACAATAAATCGCCTTACAAACCTACTACTTCTCATAAAGTCGCTGTATCTCTTAATGATGAGTCCGCTAGAACCATATCTAAGTTTCTGGACATGCTTAAAGGATATCAATATTTTAAGTGGAATGCCGATGAACTTGAGTGTTGGATCAATGAAAAACTGCAAACATATACAAATGAGGATTTTAATGAACTCAGTAATCTTCAGCTGAAAAAACAGAAACATCAAGAGTTTGAGTTCGAAGTAACGGTTCATGCTGAAACACTCTCAGCTCTAGATTCTACGGGAGAAGAAATGATTGGTCAGGGACACTACGCAACAGATATTATCAAAAACCGTCTTGATGAATTGCATGCCCTGTGGGAAAGGCTTATGGCTATTTTCAGAGAAAAATCACGTCTTATTAACCTAACGCTTAAATTTGTCCAGTTTTTACGCCAAGTCGACGAGATACTTTTCTGGATACGTGAAAAAGAAACTTACGTAACATCAGAGGATTCAGGTCAAGACTTGGAACATGCTGAGACACTTCAAAAAGGGTTTAATGAGTTTACAAAAGATCTCGAGAATCAAGAAAGTCGTGCAGAAGACATCTATCGGAAGGCAGATGAACTTCTAAAAGAGAAATTTCCTGAGGATGCCCTAGTCATAGAAAAGTTCAGACAGGTCCGCGAAGCTCTAGAACGTCTGAAGGATCTGGTTAGAAAACGACAAGAAAAGCTCCCGGAAGCCTACGAGATACAGTGCTTCTTTAGAGACACAGATAAAGCTAAATCGTGGGTGAATGAAAAGCCCATTCCTTTATCCATTGAGGACTGTGGTCGTGATCTTGCCTCAGTCCAAGCCTTACAAAGGAAGCACGAAGCATTAGAAAGGGATTTGACTGCCCCAGATGAAAAGATTGTTCGACTTGGAGATGATGCTAAGGCGCTTGCACAGAAGCGTCCTGATTCGCAAGACACTATACAAGGCAAGTATGACTCCCTAATCACTGCATGGGATAAGCTGAAAAGTCAGGCTGTAGGTAGGAGAGGTAAACTGGAAGAGTCATTCAAGATCCATCGCTTTTTGGCTGACTGGAGAGACTTGAGCATCTGGATGAATGACATGAAGACGTTAATATCGGCGGATGATTTGGCAAAGGATGTAGCTGGTGCCGAAGCCCAAGTAGGACGACATAAGGAATACACCGCTGAGATAAATTCTCGAGCTGACAGTTTTGATACATGCATGCAAGAAGGTCAGGCATTACTAAGTGTTAGCCATCTCTGTAGTGGAGACATAGTTGCTAAACTTTCCACCCTTGAAAGAGAGAGAGCCTCCCTGATGCAGTTGTGTGAGGAAAAACGTGAACAGCTAGGACAGCGTATGGGCCTTCAGTATTATTACCGCGACGCTGAACAGTCAGAATCTTGGATTGGTAAGCAAGAGGCCCTCTTAGAAATAAAAGATGTGGGAGACTCACTCGATTCTGTGGAAGCACTCATAAGGAAACATGAAGACTTCGAAAAGTCGCTTCTAGCACAAGAAGAAAAGATGCGACAACTTGATGAATTCGCTACGAAATTAATCGAATCAAACCACTATGCGGCTGCACAGGTTGATGAGATTCAGGAAGGTCTTCAAAATAGTCGAAATGCATTAAAGGAGAAAGCTCAGAACCGCCGTCAGCGTCTTGAAGATTCCCACCGTTACCAAATGTTCGATAGAGATGCAGATGAAATGCAGTCATGGATGATATCAGGAAAACTTAGAAATGCACTTGATGAAAGTTACAAAGACTCCACGAATTTGCAAACAAAGATGCAGAAGTATCAGAATTTCGAGGCAGAAATACAAGCGAACCAATCCCGCTTTGAAGATATTAAAAAGACAGGTCATGATTTGTTAAATGCAAACCACTACAACTCACAAGAAATAAAGGTAAAGATTGAACAGTTGGATGAAACTTGGTCTCATCTCATAAATGCCATGGGAGACAGGAAGAAACATTTAGATCAAGCAAGTAGGCAACAACAGTTCGCTCTCAACATAGAAGATGTCGAGTTATGGTTGAATGGTGTTGAAGCTCAGATAGCCTCAGAGGATGTCGGTCGTGATCTAAACAGTGTGATGAACGTACAAAAGCGGCACAACTTGCTTGAATCTGATGTAGCTACTCATCGTGAACGTATAGATGCATTCAAAGTCCAGGCTGACACGCTTGCTGCAGAAAGTCATTTCGACGCTCCTATTATCCAAGAAAAACAAAGACAGTTAGCCCAACGTTACCATGACCTGCAAATCCCTCTAAGTCAACGTCGTGAGAAGTTAAGAGATTCCCTTCCCTCGGACACATCTTTGCAGCTTGAATATGGTGACTATAGTGAACTGATGAAGTTACTAGTCGATTGTTGTAAAGATTTTAAAGCATATTCGCTTAACCAAATCGAATCAGAAATGTGGCATCAGTATGCTGAAAGCTTCACTACTGGCTCAGTAGCCACTCACAAAGATGCCTTCAGGTTATGGGTTAAAGATAAGAACCCTGTTGTTGAAAAGTATATTGGGTTTATAGAGTCATACCGTGATCCCTTTGGTGTTCGTGCAAGGTTTGAATCATTTGTCGCTGTTGTAAATAGATCAGTGTCTAAAAAATTCCAACGACTTGTGAATAATGCTGAAAGGTTGTCAACAAGTTTACCATGGCCTTATACGTTTGAAAAAGTTAATTTCTTATAGCCAGACCTTACTAGTTTGGATATAGTTACGTTTGAAACTTCTGGAATTCCTGTTGGAACTAATATTCCTAACTATGATGATGTACGACAAGTTGGTGGATTTAAAAATGTTTCTTTGAATAATGTACTTAGTGTTCGTCTCGAGGATCCTAAACCAGAATTTCTACGTAATGAAGACAAACAAATGTACGTGAAACATGCTGAAAGTTCCTTTGAATTACAAGTTGGACTTCATGAACTGATGGGATATGGTTCAGGTAAACTGTTTCAGCGTGATTGTTATGGAAAACGAAATTTCCACACGAAAACTACTGAATATGTCATAAATGCAGATCCTGTAAAAGGTTGGTTTGAAGCAGGAGAAACGTATGACAGCAAGTTTCCAAACCTTCCATCTGCAACAGATAAGTGTCAAGCTGAGTGCGTTGGAATTAATTTATCTGATTTACCTCTTGTTCTAGAGCAGTTCGGTCTGAATACCGACTGTGCTCAAGGCGATGTCTCAGATGTAGTCAATATTAATTGGTTGTCAATGATTCCTTCAGTTGTAACTTCCATAGAGTTTTATTCTGCAGGAGACGGCCGACGCACTCCTTTACCTCGCTTAGCCAGAAATAATGCTGGTAAAGAGGAAAGGTTGGGCATGAGGCTAGCAACCCCATCCTGTAAAATAAACACTGCTACAGAAACTTCAAGCCACT